TGTCCACCGACAGCCACGAGATGATGCAGCAGCAGCAGCAGCAGCAGCAGCAGCAGCAGCAGCAGGAGCTATATGTAAGTGAGCAGGTGGGGGATCAAGTGTCCGGCGTCTGCGAATTGCTTCGCAGACACAAAACTTCTGCTGTCCACCGACAGCCACGAGATGCTGCAGCAGCAGCAGCAGCAGCAGCAGCAGCAGCAGCAGGAGCTATCTGTAAGTGAGCAGGTGGGGGCTCAAGTGTCCGGAGTCTGCGAATTGCTCCGCAGACACAAAACCTGTGCTGTCCACCGACAGCCACGAGATGATGCAGCAGCAGCAGCAGCAGCAGCAGCAGCAGCAGCAGCAGCAGCAGCAGCAGGAGCTATCTGTAAGTGAGCAGGTGGGGGCTCAAGTGTCCGGAGTCTGCGAATTGCTTCGCAGACACAAAACCTCTGCTGTCCACCGACAGCCAGGAGATGCTGCAGCAGCAGCAGCAGCAGCAGCAGCAGCAGCAGCAGCAGGAGCTATCTGTAAGTGAGCAGGTGGGGGCTCAAGTGTCCGGAGTCTGCGAATTGCTTCGCAGACACAAAACCTCTGCTGTCCACCGACAGCCAGGAGATGCTGCAGCAGCAGCAGCAGCAGCAGCAGCAGGAGCTATCTGTAAGTGAGCAGGTGGGGGCTCAAGTGTCTGGAGTCTGCGAATTGCTTCGCAGACACAAAACCTCTGCTGTCCACCGACAGCCACGAGATGCTGCAGCAGCAGCAGCAGCAGCAGCAGCAGCAGCAGCAGGAGCTATCTGTAAGTGAGCAGGTGGGGGCTCAAGTGTCCGGAGTCTGCGAATTGCTTCGCAGACACAAAACCTCTGCTGTCCACCGACAGCCACGAGATGCTGCAGCAGCAGCAGCAGCAGCAGCAGCAGCAGCAGCAGGAGCTATCTGTAAGTGAGCAGGTGGGGGCTCAAGTGTCCGGAGTCTGCGAATTGCTTCGCAGACACAAAACCTCTGCTGTCCACCGACAGCCACGAGATGCTGCAGCAGCAGCAGCAGCAGCAGCAGCAGCAGCAGCAGCAGGAGCTATCTGTAAGTGAGCAGGTGGGGGCTCAAGTGTCCGGAGTCTGCGAATTGCTTCGCA